TGAGTTTTGTATAAAAATTATTACAGTTTTATTACATTTTGAGAGTCAATTGTGGCCGCCGGATCTGGGGAGATGGATGGTCGTGATTAACGACGTCAAAACGACGTCGTTTGATCAAGAGGCACCTGGACCGGCGGAGCATTTGGGCCTGGGCGTGGGAATTTTGTTTGGGCTAACTGATTTTGGCCCAAATTTGGTCTCCAATTAAGACCATTTTTAATTTTTCCTTCTTTTTCTTTTATCTATTTTTGTGTATATATTTTTTTGTATTTATTTTTCTGATTTTATAAAATGCTAAAACAAAGTAAACTCCTAATTACACTATCTAACTCCTAGAATTACTTATAACTCTATTTAAAGACAAATGCAACTATTTTCTTGCAATTTTCTTTACATTTTATTCTAAAATTAATTACTAAAGTTGTGAAATTAAATCCCTAAATGCCAATGCATATTTTGGTATTTTAATATGGATTAAAATGCACAAATAAAAATGCAACAATTACCAAAGGATGCCACAAAAGTCACAAAAAATTATAAATACTAGAAAACTATTTTGTTTGAAATTTTGGGAATTATAGCTTAGGGCAAAAATCACGTGCTCACAGCTGCCCCTCTTTGCCCGGAAACACGAAGAGTTTTCGTGCAAAGACAAGTGAGCATAAATGAACGATTTTTGCCCGTTTGCATATTCCGTGTGAAGCAATTTTGAAAAAGCTTGACCGCACCCTGCTTCAGAGGTTGCCTACATANATATTAGCACCGAAAATATAGACTTTCCTGCATTAGTGCTCAAGCCTGAAGCATTAGAGAAAGACTACAGCCCTTTTACTAAAAGCATTACTGATTGGTAATTGTCTTTACAAAATAACAGTACATCATCATCTGTGAAGCATAGATGATTCAATTTCAATCATCTGCATTTAATGTGATACCCAAAGTCCCTCATTTCTGCCACCTTATTCAAAATTCTAGTAAGATATTCCATGCACACTACAAATAATAGGGGTGATATTGAATCACCCTGTCGAAGCCCTCTCATTCCACTATATGCTCTCATATAGCCCCTCATTTATTGCTATGTTATACTGAGTAGTACTTATACATGTCACTATCCACTTAATGAATCTATGAGGAAAATTCATTGCATGAAGCATTGTCATTAGGGGCAAGTATTAACATCTGGGAAAACTTTCATTTTCAAATTTTTAATTCCCTTTCTCATCTTCTTTTTCTTCTCTTCTCTTCTCCTCTTATCTCCTACTCAATTTCTTCTTCCTTTTCTTCTCCTTTCTTATCTTCTCTGTATGTTTTTCTTCTTATGCGTTTTCATTATTTCTTCTTATTCTTCATCAACTTCTTCCTTCTCCTCCTCCCCTTCTTCTTCTTCTTACTGTGAAGATTTGTGATTTCTTCTAAAAATAATTGAGGGAATTCTGCAATCCGTAAAAAATAATTGAGAATAGTTTAAACAATTCGAGAGTTGCTTTAGTTCAACCAATCAGGAAATACCCATTTCTGAAGACCTCAGTGACACTTCCAAAAAAGACTCAAAGTCTCTTATAAACCCCCACCCCACCCCACCCCACCCCACCCCACCCCCACCCTCCCACCCCCACAACCGCTCCGTCTTACTTGTCGAAACTCTTCAAATGCTTTTCTAGTTTCAACACCCATCAAGTGTCATATTTCATGGATCCAACTTATCCTGTATATTCTCAGCTCCTAACCTGGTTATTGTTTTCTTTTTTTCTGTTTAAGCTTTTCTTAACATATATAATCTTTAAATTACAGAAAAATATTTGACCGTTCTACCGGAGATGTCGCTGTTGATTTCTATCACCGTTACAAGGTATGGCAGTCCTCATTTAAACTTTTTCTGCTGATATTTATGTTTTAGTGGGTATTAAATAAATATTGCCAAATGTTACAGGAGACATACGTCTACTTAAGGAAGTTGGTATGAAAGCATTCAGGTTATCCATCTCTTGGTCTCGCATTTTACCACGTAAGAATACTTTTTCCAGTTTAATTCACATTTGAAATATGCAGTAATTACAGCAAAATATATAAGGAGGTGAAAAGAAAAAGAGGCAAACTAATACTAGTTGATCGCTCAACTTAATCTTTTTCTTACTTGTTCTAGATGGGAAAGTAAGCAAAGGAGTGAATCCAGAAGGCATAAAATTCTACAACAATGTCATCAATGAGCTTATCTCCAATGGTACTAATAACTTTATCTCATTCCAATATACTATCAGTTTTACGAAACCGTTATAAGGTTTCTAACTTTTCTATTCTTAAAAGGTTTGACGCCATTTATAACACTTTTCCACTGGGACACACCACAAACCCTAGAGGACGAATATGGAGGATTTCTCAGTTCCAAAATAGCGTAAGACGTTAAAGCATTCGAACAGAAATAAGATAGATTTCTATTTATTTTTTTTCTTGAAGGAATTACATAAGTACCTGATGATATTGTGTGATCAATTTACAAGGCAATAAGGTTTGTACTCAATTAATTTTTCAGTTCCTCTAGTCGGGTGTGAGCTGGCCTATTTTTGGATCAAATCCCCCTTTAAAACTGTACATGTGGGTCTTACCACATGCGGTTCACACCATTCGAGGTGCCCAAGCCTAGAATTTATTTGCAAACTTTGTAGTGAATTTGCGAATGACTGTAGTGTGGGTCTTTCCACATGCGGCTCAACGCAATTCGAGGTGATTCAGCCCATAATTCAATTCACAAATTCTGTAGTGAAATTGGGAGTACTCAACCTCAAAAGTAGAGATATCACATATGTTGAATAACCTGATTATGTTATGCCTTAATGTATGCTTCATGTGTATGCATGATTCTTAGTTATAGGCCCATACTTGAAATATCTCGGAAAATCCTGAAATAGATTTCGCGGAAAACCGGCAATATGCGATCTTGGTTGGCCTTTCACCCTAGCCACAAGTCATCCCTGTATTTTGCCACATACGTGTGTTCGGTCCTTCAAGGCCTGTCAGAGCTCTCTTCATACATAATGTACGTAACCACTCATCAAAAAATAGCCGGTAAATGCATACCTTTCTATACTAATGTATACAATATGAATATAGTATACATATTTTATTCATAATTAGTGTATTTTTCTTATATATTTGTCTAGTACTTTAATTATTTTTGACCGACCGACCAAATATATTAAAAGCCCAAATGTTTTAGCTGTCCAGGTAGCGATGCGATCTAAACCTAAAAATTCTTGTCCAATCTAATACCATATTGATATATATTGTGTGATCATCTCATCTAAAACTTTAAGTTATTTAAAAAGCGTAATTTTAATTTCTTAGCTAAATTATGCCTCAAACATATGTACCGAAAGCTGAAGCTGTATATTCATGCGTTCAGGAAGGACTTTGGTGATTATGCGGACATTTGCTTCAAGGAATTTGGTGATAGGGTAAAGCACTGGATCACATTGAATGAGCCATTATCTTATAGCATGTTCGGATATGCAAGAGGTACCTTTGCACCAGGAAGATGTTCGAGTTATGTTGGTAATTGTACGGAGGGTAATTCTGCCACTGAGCCATATATTGTAGCTCACAACATGCTTCTTGCCCATGCAACCGGTGTCAAAGTATATAAAGAAAAATATCAGGTCAGTTCATCCTTCTATCAAAACATGGACCAAGTATATCTTTCTTTTTTCAAAGTAATCATCTACGTAGAAATTTATTTTGGCAGATAATTATTCATCATGTTTTATTTTCTAGTTAAGGAGGTATTTTTTTGCTGAACACCACTAAGCAGTGTGCCTAGCCTCTGATTTTTATTAATAAAATCAAAACATTATTCCCTGCACATCACGAAAAATTAATAAGGAGGTCGTTGACTGGCCGCCAAGTTTAAAAAGGGAAGTTTGCCACAGACTAAAAATTATTTAATTAAATCTTAAATATATCATGAAACTTTTATGACTATGAGAGCATTTCATTAATAGAAAAAATGAGAAATCTGAAGTTATAATAAAAGTTTCAAATATAAAATATGCTTTTTTTTGGAGAAAAAAGTATAANTATATATATATATATATATATATATATATATATATATATATATATATATATATATATATATATATATATTATGTATATTATATACAAAAATTATATAAATTTTATATACTTTTTTTATAATCAAAAATAAATAATTTCTGACGCGGGCTAAAAGTGATAATACCCCTTTTGTAATCGGGATGTTACCTTCTTAAGACGTTCGACTCACCCCCTCCCCCACCTCCAATATACGAAAGTAAAGTTTGGATGCATTTCTAGAATATAATTACTTAAATCAAATATCTTTTATATTAAGTAGTTACAGTTTGGGGAGTTAAGTAATTCCTTTATACAATTTCAAACTTTTTAAAAATATTTTGGTTTATTAACTATGTTAACTTTTTTAAACCTACAAAAAACTACGTTCACTTATCCTTCCTTCATCCCAATTTATGTGACCTTATTTTAGTGGCCACAAATTTTAAAAAGAAATTATGAAACTTGTGATCTAAAATATATCATAGACACTTGAGTGACTATAATAATTTCATTAAAGATAAAATAGAATATTTAAAGTTAATTATTTCTTAATATATTAATGTTCAATTCTTATTGGGAAATACTAAATAGGAAACCATGTCATGTAAATAGGAAATAGAGAGTAGTATATTTCATGTAATCTTCAAATATATAATATTTAATTTTAAAAGTTTTAGAGAATCTATGAGCAAATTAACAGTGAAAATTAGGTGGTTTGACGTTCTTCGAACTCCTTCACCTAAATTGGAACACAGGGAATAACTTTTAGAGCGAACTGATTTTTGTATTATAACTGGATTCGTGAACTGATAAAATTTGAGATAATAAGCCATAATTTGGCAATTTTGATTGCTTTATCAAATGGTCATGTCATTTTTATATCCAAATAATCACAATATATTGTATAGGTTTTTGGATCCAATTACATATGGTGACTACCCAGCCAGCATGCGAGCTAATGTAGGACGTCGGCTCCCGAAATTCACAATGGAGCAGTCAAAGTTAGTGAAAGGATCGATGGATTTCCTAGGAATGAATTACTATACTACTTACTATGCATCTCCAATGCTATCTGTCCCTAGAGTTAATCTTAGCTACACTACAGACAATCATGTAGATATAACTGGTAAGTCATCCAGTTAATTCCTTCCTTTGAGAAAATTTATTTACTAATTGAAAGTTAAATTTGGTTTGTTATATTACAAGAACTAATTGAATCCCTTTTTTTCTTGCATAATGTTTTGACTGTTTCTGTATTTCATTATTCAGCTGAAAAGGACGGAAAACCTATCGGTACACCGGTATTTTGCCTCTCTTTCTATCTTCTCTTTTGGATTGATTGGAGTATGAATTTACAACTTGCTTATTTTGATTAATATTGCAGACTGCCTTGAATTGGCTTTACATTTATCCAAGAGGAATATATGATCTCATGCTTTACATCAAGCAAAAGTACAAGAATCCTCCCATTTACATCACTGAAAATGGTATGTTTTTGTTTCAAATAAAGTTGCTTTTATCTTATACGTAAATTACTAAATGTTATCTCTTAGAACGACCTCACCTAGCTTTTTTTCTTTCTTTTTTTTTTTTTTGTTTCGCCAATTGTAAAAAGTGTTAGTGTTTGTTTTATAACTAAAGCCATCTTAATGTTGACATTAAATTGAAGGAATGGCTGATGCAAACAATAGTACATTGCCACTTAAACAAGCCCTTAAGGATGATTTGAGGATAAGGTATTACGAGGGACACCTATGGTTTCTGTCAAAAGCCATAAAGTAAGATTCTTTTTTTTTCTTTGTCATTTTTCCTTTTTTTTTTTCTTTTTTCTTTTGTGAGTTTTTAAGTTACTGCTACATTATTGGCAGGGCGGGGGCAAATGTGAAAGGACATTTTGCATGGTCATTATTAGATGACTATGAATGGGATGCTGGTTTCACTGTCCGATTTGGCATCACTTTTGTTGACTACAAAAATGGACTTAAAAGATACCTCAAGAAATCTGCTTATTGGTACAAGAAGTTCCTCTTGAATACTGGCAAATAAATATGAGTCTGACTTGGCTCCTGCCTCTTCAAATTACAACCCAGCCATTCTTCTGCAATTTATAATTCAGTTCTGTTTTGTTTTAAATGTTCTTTTTACCTTAAAGGGTATTCTTGGAGGATCATCTCTTAGTGTCCTGCGTTAAGTGTCATTGAGCTTTATTTATTGAAAATAAACTGAGGAATGCCTCATTATCATTTGTACTACTGCCATTCATAACCCACAAGCTTACAATGGGATATTGTACTCTCCGTAGAAACGCTTTGGAGGATACGCGCTTGTGTTATGGATTTCGGGGGTTCTTGGGACCAGTTTCTACCGCTTGCAGAGTTTGCCTACAATAACAGCTACTAATCTAGTATTGAGATGGCTCCTTATGAGGCTTTATATGGGAGACGGTGTCGTTTTCCAGTTAGTTGGTTTGAGCCGGAAGAGGCTAGGTTTTTGGGTACTGATCTGGTTCGGGATGCCTTGGAGAAGTCGAGTTGATTCAGGATCGGCTTCATACAGCACAATCTAGGTAGAAGAGTTATGCTGATAGGAAGGTTCGTGATGTTGCATATGTGGTAAGTGAGAAGGTTTTGCTTAGAGTTTCACGGTATATAGACCTTTTTAATGTGCTTGAGAGGATTGGAGAGGTGGCTTACAAGCTTGCATTGTCAACTAGTCTATCGGGTGTTCACCTAGTGTTTCATATTTTTATGCTCCGGAAGTATTATGGTGACCCATCCCATGTGTTGGACTTCAGCATGGTACAGCTAGATGGGGACTTGACTTATATGTGGAGCCAGGTTCGAAAGTTGAGATCAAACACTATAGCTTTAATGAAGGTTCAGTAGAGAGGCCAGCCAGTCGAGGAGGCTACTTGGGAGAACAAGGGAGAGATGTGGAGCAGTTATCCAAACCTATTTGAGACTCCAGGTATGTCTTTACACCCGTTTGAGGACGAACGTCTATTTAAGAGGGGGAGAATGTGATGACCCAGCCAGTCGTCTTGTGTTTTGTAGCCTCGTTCCCCTGTTTATTGCTTGTTCTATGTTCACTTTTCGCTATGTGACTTGGCGGGGTGGTTGGTTTGTTTCTGGGGATGTTCCGGAGTGAATTGGCACACTTAGCCCCAAGGTTGGAAGTTTAAGTTGAAAGAGTTGATCGGATATTGACTTATCTGTAGACGACTCCGAAAAAGAGTTTTGATGGTTCTGATAGCTTCGTATGGTGATTTTGGACTTAGAAAAATGACTGAATTTTGATTTGGAGGGTCATATGTTGATTTGGTGCATTTTGGAGAAATTTCAAGGTTTGGAAGGTTGAAGGGTTTGACTGAGAGTTGACTTTGTGGATATCGGGTTCGGATTTTAGTTCTGGGAGTTGAAATAGGTCTGTTTTGTCATATATGACTTGTGTGCAAAATCTAAGGTAAATCGGAGATGATTTGATATGGTTTGGCATTGGTTTTAGAAGTTGGAAGTTCATTAGTTTATTAGGCTTGAATTGGGGTTAAATTCGTGGTTTTGAAGTTGTTTGATATGATTTGAGGCTCCGACTAAGTTTGTATCATGTTTTAGGACTTGTTAGTATGTTTGGTCAGGGCCCCAGGTGTTATTTAGATGGTTGTCGGATCATGGTTGCACTTGAGAGTTGAATGGAATTTTCTGTCACCTGATGCAATCACACCTGCGATGGTTTTGCCGTATGAGCGAGGTCGCAGAAGAGACAGTTGGAGCGCAGATGTGGAGAAAGACTGGATGTTGAAGGATCACAGGTGTGTGTAAGATTCTACAAAAGCGGAGTCGCTTCTGTGAGGATTGGACTGCAGAAACAGATATGAGCAGGAGGACCTAGGACCAAAGGTGCGGAAGGCTTCCGCAGGTGCGGATGTGTAGAAGCGCGAGTGGGACAGAAAACCGGACGCGCAAAAGCGGGACTTTAGCCGCAGAAACGGCACGTCGGAGTTTATGTGGACGTTGCAAGAGCGGGGACTTTTTCGTAAAAGTGGAATCGTAGATGCGATCATTTTATCCGCAGATGCAGGATCGCTAGGTAGTGTTTAAATTCGAAGGTTTTAGTTATTTTTCTCATTTTTGGGATTTTGAAGTTCGGACTAGGGGAATTTTTGGAGGGGTTTCCACCTAGATTGAAGAGTAAGTGACTTTCAGTCATTTTTGTCCATGAATATTGAATAGCCTTTGATTATTACACCTAATTTTCATGAATCTAAGTTAGAATTTGGGGATTTTTGGACTATGTTATTGGAGAGTGAAATTTGAGGATTTTAAGGGGCGAGTTTATGGTTGGAATTGAATGATTTTGGTATAGTTAGACTTGTAATTAAATGGGTATTCGGAATTTGTGAATTTTATCGGGTTCCTCGGGGTTGACTTTTTGGGTTGACTTTTTGACTTGAGTTAAAGATCTTAGCTTTATCTTTTGGAATCACTTCCTATGGCTTTTATTGATAGTATTACGTTATTTTGGCTAGATTCGAGCCTTTCGAAGGTTGATACATGCAGCAAGGGCTTGTTAGCGGAGTGATTTGGTTTGCTTAAGGTAAGTATATTATCTAAACTTGGTTGAGCTTTGATATGCTCCAACTACGATATTGTGCAACAACACAAGCAAGAACCCGACTAGGCTCCAAAACATCCAATCTCACGAACTGATTGGCCAAATCCTAAACATCCACGACTAGTGGCCTCTCTACCGCCATAAATATTCCAAACAACCCATGCTCTCCGCTTTTCTACTCATCGCATTAGCCACTACATTGGCCTTCCACAGATGATATAGTATGGCGATATCATAGTCTTTCATCAACTCTAACCATCTCCGCTTACTTAAACAGGTGCTGGAGACTCGAATGGTCGGTGTAGACTTCACACGGAACGTTGTACAGATAGTGCCACTAAATCAAGCAAAAGTACAAGAATCCTCCCATTTACATCACTGAAAATGGTATGTTTTTATTTCAATTAAAGTTGCTTTATCTTATACGTAAATTAGTAAATGTTATCTCTTAGAAAGACCTCACCTAGCTTTTTTCCTTTTTTTTTCTTTCGCCAATTGTAAAAAGTGTTTGTGTTTGTTTTATAACTAAAGCCATCTTAATGCTGACATTAATTGAAGGAATGGCTGATGCCAACAATAGTACATTGCCACTTAAATAAGCCCTTAAGGATGATTTGAGGATAAGGTATTACGAGGGACACCTATGGTTTTTGTCAAAAGCCATAAAGTAAGATTCTTTTTTTTTCTTTTTATTTCTTTGTCATTTTTCCTTTTTTTCTTTTTTCTTTTGTGAATTTTTAAGTAACTGCTACATTATTGGTAGGGCGGGGGCAAATGTGAAAGGACATTTTGCATGGTCATTATTAGATGACTATGAATGGGATGCTGGTTTCACTGTCCGATTTGGCATCAGTTTTGTTGACTACAAAAATGGACTTAAAAGATACCTCAAGAAATCTGCTTATTGGTACAAGAAGTTCCTCTTGAATACTGGCAAATAAATATGAGTCTGACTTGGCTCCTGCCTCTTCAAATTACTACCTAGCCATTCTTCTGCAATTTATAATTCACGTCTGTTTTTTTTTTAAATGTTCTTTTTAACTTAAAGAGTATTCTGTGAGGATCTTTCTCTTATAGTCATGCGTTAAGTAAAATAAACTGAGGAATGCCTCATTATCATTTGTACTACTGTCATTCATAACCTACTAGCTTACAACGGGATTCTACTCTCCGTAGAAATGAGGTTATTATCTGAGTTGGTGAGCATTTACTTAATTTCGTCCTAGATGGAGGACTGAAACGCTTTGTATTATACTGTCACCGTTGTCTCATCTTATGTGAAAACAAGTAGGAGTATGTGGGGAGTCAAACTTTTTAAGTATGATTTTTTGAATTCTTTTTTATATATTTTTTTAATTATTAACTATGGTGATATTATAGTACTTTTTACTTGATTATCAAATGAAAAATATGTAGCTTTTGTTCCGAGTTGAAGACCATTTTAATATTCACGTACGCCTTCCAATCCACGCTTTAGTGAAATTGTAATGACCCGGCCAGTTGTTTTGAGTATTGTAGTCTCATTCCCCTATTTATTGCTTATTCTTATTCAATTGTGGTTATGTGACTTGCGGGGGTGGTTGGTTTGGTTCCGGGGATGTTTCGGAATGAATTGGAACACTTAGTCCCAAGGTTGAAAGCTTAATTGAAAGAGTAGACCGAATGTTGACTTATGTGTAAACGACTCTAGAATGGAGTTTTGATAGTTCTGATAGCTTCGTATGGTGATTTTGGACTTAGGAGTATGTCCGGATATTGATTTGGAAGCCCGTAGGTCGTTTTAGCTTTAATTGACAAAAGTTAAAAAGTTGAAGGTTTGGAAGGTTGAGAAATTTGACTGAGAGTTGACTTACCAGATTGGGATTGGTTCCAAAAGTTGGAATAGGGCCGTTGCGTGATTTATGACTTTTGTGCAAAATTTGAGTTCAATTGGAATTGGTTTGAAGGAATTGGAATGGCAAAAATATGTTAATGAGTCTGTAGTATCCCCGCAGAAATAAAAAACTTACCTGGAATATGCTTAGAACTTGATCTGAACCCTAAACAACAACAAGGCAGCAGTGAAACAGTTTCAACAAGGATGAAAAATATACAACAATTTGAGGTCACCTCCCCAAACACAGTGACAGTAATGACACCAGAAAATCAACTTCAGAAAGTGCAGGACCAGGATAACGAAGAAGGCTTCTCTCCTGTGACTAAACGCAAGAATCAGAACAAAAAGAAAGACAGGAAGAAAAAACAGAATGAGAAAGCACCTACTCAGGGAGGTGGATCAAACTAATTCCTTCTTTTTTCCATGATAAGTGCCATATTTTGAAATATTAGAGGAGTTAACACAAAAAAGGCCATGCCTAGATTAAAAAAAACTTATCAATATCAACAAAGTGGATTTCATAGCCCTAATGGAACCATTTGCCAATATGAACAAATTGGGTAAGTATATGAGGTTTCTGAAGTTTAAACACTGCATATCCAATACAAATGGGCAAATTTGGCTCATGTGTTCTGAAAACTTTCAATCAAGTGTGGTTACTATGGATGATCAACAAATCACTATCAAAATACATAATGGGGTGGATGCCAAGAGTATGTACATTACGGAGTTTATGCAAAATGTAAAGCTAGTGACAGAAAA